CCCCCTATTATTATGTTATCCTTGTTTTACTCTTTAAAATAAAAAAAAAGAAAAGAAAAGGAATCCCCAAGCTGCAGAGGTTCACAGCAAATAAGGGGTCCCAAACATAAGCCTGAGAGATGCACGGAGGTTTTTCTGGCCCTGGCGGAACAAAGAATGCTCCATTCCACAACCAAGTCGTCCTTTCGCGGGAGTTCTCAAGCTATAGACTCCCGAATGTCCTGTAACTGTCTGACCTGTGCCTGCAGTGAGCGACCAAGGACACAAAAACAGGAAAGAGAGAGGAAATAAAAACGTCTAAAGTCTTCTCAAGGGGGATTTAGCTCCTGGCTGACTTACCAAGATGTGACTGTGGGTGATGGGTCGGGGACGGGATCCCTGGTTCTTGTGCGATGAACAAAGCGCTGGACGTGGCATGTGACAGTAAGGAAACAGCAGCACAGTGTATTGAGCTGATAGTCTGATCAGAGTGAGCAGGCTCACGCTGGTGAAAGGAAAACTGCCTGAGTGCAAAGAGGTCTGCCAGGGTATGACCGACAGCACGGTCGACGGGTGCCGAGTCGTGTCAGCTGCGTCTGCTGCACATGTCCTTTCCCATAATTCACTGCTGTAACAGTGTATGAGATGCAGCCCCTGTGCATGAGCTTTCAGTGAGCTCCAGGTGAAGGAAGGTTACTACAGGTCAGGGGCAGCGAACCCACGGCGTGTGTGCCGCAGGGGGCAGCAGAGCATGCGAGCCAGTCACCCTAGCAGCTGAGCAAAGGACAACAGTTGTTTCTTTCTGAACTAAAACCTCAGTATGCAGGTTTCATTGTAGTGTTGGCACTTTGCAATAAATAAGTGGGTTTTGGGTTACAGTTTGGGCACTTGGTCTCTAAAAGGTTTGCCATCACTGCTACAGGTCATGCCGGGGGTCATGGTAAGCATGCATCCTGGCTTGAAATTCTCCTGGTTTTGAATTCTCCAGGGCAGGCTCAGGGGGTCATGCTTTCCCTTATCTCTGCCTCCCTGTAGTACTCCTTAGGACAAGAGGGAGGGGTTGGGGCACTGCCCAGGTTCAGCTGAGTAGAGGGTAGGGGTTCCACAGGGAGTAGAGGGAAGTGCCCCCAATTATACCATCTTTGTTACTTCCTTCTTCCTTTTTTCTTCCCTCCCTCTCTCCTTCCCTGCCCCCCTCCTTTCTCTCTTTCTTCCCCCTTCTTTCCCCCTTCCATGTTTCCCTCCCCCTTCCTCTCCCCCTTCTCCTTCTCCCTCTCCCAGGGAAGGAACCCAGGGCCTCACACATGCTAGGGAAGCACTTTGCCACTGAGCTACGCTCCCAGCCACAAAGAGTACATTTCTATCAGGTTATGTGACTTTATTGCAAGGGTGAGAAAAGGTTCATCTTGAAAATCTGAAGCCCCTGAAGTTTCAGAGAATGGTGAAAAATACTGTTCTAAAATTAGCTGGGATGGGCCAGTGGTATAACTCATCGGCACAGCACCTGCCTGGCAAATGCAAGCTCCTGAGTTCGATTCCCAGTCCACAAAAATAAATACATTTAAAAAAAATAAAATTAGCTGGGGTTCTGGGTATAGCAGTGCACTCCTGTAATCCCAACACTCGGGAGGCTGAGGCAGGAGGATTGTTGTGAGTTGAGGCCAGCCTGAACTGCATAGCAAGACCCTGTTTCAAAAAGACAAAAATAAAATAAAATAAAATAAAATTCTCTGGGGTACAGCTGCGGGGGATGAAGATCAGAAGTAAAAAAGCCCTAATGTGAGGGATGTGGCAGTAGCAGTGGAGAACTGGGTGGGCGTGGTGGGCAGGAGCATTTAAAGGTGACACCCAGCACAGATGAGCAGGGAGCTGGCCTAGGGGTGGTGTCTTAGTTACTCCTCTCACTGCCGGTGCAAAATACCTTCTGCACACAACATAAGGGAGGAGAGGTTTGTTTGGGTTCACATTTCAGTCCACAGTCAGCCAGCTCCAAGGCAGGCTGGAGTGGCAGACAGGCCTGGTAGAGGAAAAGCTGCTCACAGAGAGAATGAAAAGGCTGGGAAGAAGATAAACCCTTCTAGGCCACGCCCCCAATGACCCTCTTCCTACCAGACCCCGCCCCTAGCAGCGAGCCAGCTCTAAGTCCCATAATCCAGTTACTTTGCAAAGAGCCCCACCTCTGAGTGCGTGAGGCTTCCAGGGACCAATGTAGATATCAGCCATCGGGGTAGGGGGTAGGACGGTGCTGGGCTTCAGTAAGTCCTATGGCCTGGCTGCCCTCCGTCAGGCTTCTGGAAGGAGCAGCTTCAGGACTGCCCCTCTGGCCATCGCCTCCTTACTTCCCCGCCCACCCAAGTGACCCGAGGCTGGGTCAGGCGTTAAATGGGGACAGCTTTCCTTGAGGAGCTCAGTCCTGGACTGACCTCTGAAGCCAGAAGCATTCAAGCCCTTCTGAACTCCCACGGCTTCTGGTTGAGAACCCACAATCCACTGTCACGGGGCCTGGGCCAAACAATATGAAAGAAAAGAAGCCCGAGACTAGAATATCCCCATCCTATTTCCGCCCCACATCTTGAGTCACTCTTCCTCTATGGGTTTGTTTCCCTGCAGTTAAATATCAGGGTTGATCCTGGACCACATGGTGGTTTTCAAATTCTGTCTCTGGAGAAGAGTGAGGCTCCATAGCTGGACCAACATCCTCTGCCTTCTGTTTTGAGCAATAGCAGACTTTGATTAGCTCCAATTTTAGGTTTTTCTCCCCACCAGTCTCTTAAATAGTAGCCGCCACCACCGTTTATTTCCAACAGACTTCCAGCTACCACAGCTGGTAGACAAAGGGAAGATGCAAATCAGCTGGGAAATCTAAGACAGGAGATCAGTTGGGGTGGATAGTCCTCTCCTTTCTGGAGCCTAATGGTTAACATTTTCTTTTTTGTTTGTTTGGTTTGGTTTTTTGAGACAACGTCTCACTGTGTAACCCAGGCTGGAGTCAAATTCGTGGCGATACTCCTGCCTCAGCCTCCCTCCTGAGTGCTGGGATTACATGCATGCGCCACCATGCCCAGCAACCAAGTTAGCATTTTCTATTACTCACACTACGGCTCTGGTTTCCAAGAGTGGCATTTCAGGGGTTTCCTAAAGCAAGCCCCCCATGTCTGTAGCCTGAAGAGACTAAGACCCTGGCCTCACATACTCCATTGATACTTCAGGGCTAACCTTTCATCTTCTCTCCTCCGAGCCAGTCCTGGAAGAATGTATGCAGAACCCTGTGCTTTAGCTTGACTCCACCTCCACATAACCCAGCAGCCTCATGAGGGCTGTTATTCTGTTCATTTTACAGATAAGAGAACTGAGGCTCAAATAGGGTTAATGGCTTGTCTCATGTCACACAGCCATAAGTAACAGGGCTGGGACTCAAACCTAGCAGTCAGGCTCCAGAGCTACTGCTTTTTTTAAATTAATTAAGTTTAAGGGGCCAGGGATGTAGCTTAGTAGCACAGCACCTGCCTGGCAAGCATGAGGCCCTGAGTTCGATTCCTGGTACCCTTCAAAAAGCTCCCCCCAAAATAATTGTTTATTGCTACATTTTAGGTACACATAGTGACCATATTCATCATAGAGAATTTGTACGTGAACATGATATATCTTGGTTCTTTTGTTCCCCCCCATTTCCCTACCCTCCCTTTTACTTACCCAGTGTGCCTGTCATTTAGAGCCCTTAACGCTGTCACTAAATGTTTTCAGTACTTCCTTGGGCACCTGGTAAGATTTATTTTGCATACCTCCTTTGGCCAATGAAATATGAGCAGAAGTGCTAAGCATCATTTCCAGTGGGACTTTTAGGAGTTAATTACCACAATCACATTCATTTCTTTTCCTTACTAGTTATGGAGGAACAAGGAAGGAATCTCCCTCAGCTATATCACTGAATGTGATGTGGACCAGATCCCCGCCCTTCTGCCCCACAACTGACCTGCATAGCGCAAGTACTGTGGGTAAAAAATAACCTCCATCATTTTCTGAAATGTGGGGGCTGTTTGTTACTGTTGCATAGCCTAGCCCACCCTGACTAATTCAATGCTGTGTACTGTCCCCTGTTGATTTTCTTTCTTTCTTTTTTTTTTTCTTGGTTTTTTGAGACAAGGTCTCACTATGTAGTCCACACTGGTTTTGAACTCACTATGCAGCTCAATCAGGCCTTGAACTCACAGCAATCTTCCTGCCTCAGCAGGAAGTTCTGGGATTATAGGTATGTGCCACCATGGCCAGCTCCTGTTGCTTTTCTTCACCACTGGTCCCGAAGCCTGCTGTAGTACTCAACCTTTCATGACCAAAATAAAATACCTCAGGCAAGCTAGGAAGAAAAGAGATTTATTAAGCTCACAGTTTTTAAGGTTCAAAGACCCAATAGTTCAGCCTCTGGTGAGGACCTAACAGCTTATGGCAGTGCTGGCAAACCTATGGCACGTGTGCTGCAGCCAGCTGTTTATTCACTGAGAGCTCTAAAAGGTTCGCCATCACTGGCATAGGGCGTCCCACCATGGCGGAAGTGCGTGTGTTTCAAAGTATGGCATTGGCAAACCCTCCTAAAGGCACACCTCCGAGGCCCCTCCTCCAAGGCTCCACCTTTTAAAGGGCCATCCCATCTGTCTATACTATCACCCTGGGGACCAAGCTCCAACATACGAACCTTAGTAGGGGAGGGGGATACTTAAACCACCTCCAAACCATGTCCACACGCCAGCACCTGCCTTCTCCCAACCCCCTAAAAACACTGGCTCCACATTCAAATCTGAAAAGCAGCAAGAGAAGAAGAAAGCCTCCCAAATGCGGAAGTGGGGGTGTGTTTGGGGGCCAGCTGACCACGCTGTGCATCCTGGGGCAGAGGTCACACAGAGTGACACCTCCACCCAGCCCTGGAAGGCCACAGACAGACGCTCAGGTTTCTCTCATACACATTTATTGGTTCTTCTTAATTTTATTCCCCGTTTTTATAGTAGGAATGACTGGGATGGCAGGAGGAGGACCGGGATCTCAAGTCCTGGGGGTACTGCAGGCTGACTATGACCTTGCAGGCCTGGATCTGAACATCCTCCTCGGGGTGGATGACCAGGGCAAGCAGCCGGTCTGCCAGCCGTGACTCATCCCCAAAGAGCGCTTCGTGCAGGGACTGTTCATTGTAATGCCACTTCACAGCTCGGTAGTGGGGCGAATTCCGGCCCTCACTCAGCCGCTCGGCAAACACCAGCAGCTCCAACAGCAGAGTTCCTGGCTGCGTGGCTTGGAACAGGTCCAGGAAGTTGGAGTGTACCTGTGACGTGGGAAACAAAATCCCAGGCAAGTTCCAAACTTCTTGTTTTCCCATCTCCCTATTATTTCAAATCACCAATGTAACTGGGTCTCAGATGAACTGTATGGGAAATTTTTAGCTTACCTTTCACTCACATTTACTAGCTGAATTACACTACGGTCATAAAACGGGAGTGATAGGACAATAATATGGGTGCTGGGAAATTTGCTGAGACAAATTTTAAGGCTTAGTGGGTGGTTAACTTCCATAAATTTTTGTGTGTACTTGAGAGGAATGTGCATTTAGTACTGTAATGATAATGTGTTCTAGGCATGTCTAATGGCTCAAGCTTAATCAAGTTATCCACAGCAAGTATACCCTGACTAGGTGTTTCAGTATTTTATCTTCAGGGGATGAAACAGCTGCTAAACTCTTCCACATCTTCCACCGTGGTGATAGATTTGTTCATTTCTCCTTACAATTCCAGCAAGCTTTACCATATATATTTTGGGATTATGTTATCAGGTGCATACAAGTTTAGAGTTGCTTTATCTTTCTGGTGGTGTGATCCATTTATTATTATGTGGTAACTTTTTCTTCCCCTAATAAAATGCTTTTTTGCTCTAAGTCATTTTTCTCTAATATTAAAATACTTACATAAACTTTTATTTGCTGTGTTCCCAACTTTCAAGAGTTCAAAAAGCCCCTCAGAGGAGAACCTATGTCCTAATGAAATCGATTCTCACTCTCTTGGGGAAATAGGACAGGGGGTGGTTTCCAGTGCTGCTACAGCAGAGGCAGGAAGAAGTGTTAAATCTGTGTGGAGAACATAATTCTTTCTCCCCATTACCTGAGTTACAACTATCAGACCCTCCTGAGGCACTTCTCTCACCTGGCAGTTGAGAATGTCATAGAGAAGATCGTTCTTCTGCGCCAGATAGCTCATCAAGCGTATGGCTTGGACCTGAATAAAGGAAAGCATAAGGAAGGGGAAGGCAGGTGCATCTGGACCTCCGCAGGGAAGACAGGAACGCCAGCCACTGCCCCCAAGGTGCACCTGTGGCAGGATGTAGTCTGACTGCACGATCTCCATTAGGGCGGGCATCACCCGGCGCAGCTGCGGGTGCACGAAGTCAGGCAGCGGAAGGTTGTTGAGGAGCCTGAGGCCGGCGATGTGCAGCTCTGTGTCCCAGATGGTGGAGATCAGCTCCAGCACTTTGATGGTGTGCTCCTGGGCAGGGGGCACAGCGGGGGCTCTGCATTTACGGGGTGACCCCACCACTGCCTCAGCCTCCCCGTCACCCTTCGCTGCTGCCCCCCGGGGACCCCTGCCTCAGGCCAACCAATGCTCCCCAAGTTGAACTCTGACATCATTTCATTTTGTTGCCCGCTCTCCCTTCCCTTGACATTCTTGCTTCACCTGCCTTCTCTTTCTTTCACAGTCTTCTTTCCTAATTCCTCTGCCCAGCCGGCCCTCTGGCTGGGAGAGGTCGCCAGGGGTCACACCTCTCCCCTGAGCTTCACCCCCGCCCGGCGTGGCCTCCCTGCCCAGCCTCAGTCACGCCTTCCCAAGTCCACCACACCCGACTCCTTCCTCTCTCACACCATTTTCCCAGTTCTTGAGAAAATCTTGTTGGTCTTCCTTTCAGCAATCTGTCAAAACTCAAGCCATTTCCCCCTGCCCACCTCTGGGCCCTCGCCAAGTCCTCTGTCACCCGGATTGGGCACGGCCTCTGGTCTCCTCCTTCACCTTGCCCGCTACGTCCACCCAGAGGACAGCAGACGTGCTTGCCCTGGGCTCCCCAGCTGGGACCCCGCTTCCGTCAGGGTAAAGGTTCGGGTCCTGTTGGCTCCCGAGGAGCTGCCTCTCTCCCGGTTACTCCTTTAATTTCATCTGCTCTCCCCTCCTCTGCCCCCAGAGCTGCTCTGCCCGCTTCGCTCTCCCTGGAGCTCACTTGCCAGCGGCACCCGGCCTGGGGCGGGGGGGGGGTCACACAGGCCCAGTTCTCCCCACCTCCTCCGAGGCCTGGTTTAAGTGTCACCTCGGAGAGGCTTTCCCCAGCCACCTACCGGCTCTCCCTTCCCAGCATTGTCTCTGTCTTCCCCCCGGTATTGTCACACGCAACACACTACTTTAAAGCAACTATACATTATCAATGTATGAGCTCTAGCTTTTTTATTTTGAAACAATTAAAAATTCTTAGGAAGTTACAAAGCACTTCAGAGAGGTCCCCTGGGCTTGCCACCCCATTTCCCTCAGAGGTGACCTCTTATCTAACAAACATCAAGACAAGGAAGTAGACGGGAGGGCGGGAGAGGAAGGGGAAGTGAAAATGACTAAGATGCCATCTCTGCGAGTGCCAGTTCCCCAAGATGAATGTTATTATTAGGCATTACACATATATACTAATTTTTTAAAATGAAGGAACTGGCATTGGTGTCATGTGTGTGCCTAGCTCTTTCTAAAATTGTTTTCCCGCACTAGGGTTTGAACCCAGGGCCTTCACACCGAGCTGTATCCCCAGCCCTTTTTTCTCTTTTTATTTTGAGATAGCGTCTTGCTAACTTGCTCAAACTTGTGAGCCTCCTGCCTCAGCCTCCCAGAGTGCTGGGATCACAGGCCTGAGCCACCACACCCGGCCTCCTTCTATCATTTTATCACATGTGCAGACTCCTGCAATCACCACGGTCAATGGATTTTCACATTGTAACTGTCTCATCACCACAAGGAGCTCCCTTGAGAGGGCAGATCGGATCCTCGACAGTCACTGCCACCCACTGCCCGGCTCAAACCCTTGGCAAATGCCAATCTGTTATCCAGCTCTAATTTTTTTTTGAGAATGTTGCATATGCAGTCAGATTTCATGCAACCTCTCGAGACTGGCTTTTTTTTTTTCCACTCAGCGCAGTGCCCTTGAGATCCATCAAGTTCCACTGGTCAATATTTTATTCTGTTATTACTGAGTAGTTGTCTACGGCACAGATCACCTGTTTGTCTAACTATTCACCTATTGAGAGATAATTCTGGTTGGTCCTAGGCTGGGGCTATTTCAAACAATGCTGCCATGAACAGCTGTGCGTACATTTTTGTACACATGTTAATTTTCATTTCTCTGGGAGAAAAGCCCAGAAGTGTGACCAAACGCACATTTAGTTTTTTAAGAAGCTGGGGGCTGGGAATGTAGCTTTATCCATAGATTGCTTACAGAGCATGTACCCAGCCCTGGGCAAAAAAGAAAATTACCTGCCGAGCTGTTTTCCAGAGCGTCTGCCACACTGTTTTACATTCCCATTGGCAATGGACAGACGAGGGCTCCAGCTTTTTTGTGTCTTGTCCAGCATTTTCTTGTGTCTTGTCTAAAATTAATTTTAATTTTAGATCTTCTAATAGGTTTATGTTAAGATCTCTTAAATGCCTTCATCTGCATTTCCCTAAAGGCTAATGATATTAAGCAATTATTCCCTTTTCAATGGACCCGCTCTTCGTATCTTTTGCCCATGGAGTGCTTGTTTTTAACACTGAGTTTTGAGAGTCCTTTGTATAACCTAGACAAGTCCTTTTGTCAGGCATGTGGTTTACAAATACTTCCTTTCAGTTTACAACTTGTCTTTCCACCCTTTCAAAAGCCCTTTCATGCCAGGTGTGCTGGCGCACGCCTGTCATCCCAGCACTCATGAGGCTGAGGCAGAAGGCTCTTTGCGAGTTCGAGACCAGCCTGGGCTACAAAGTGAGCTCAAGGCCAGCCTGAACTGCATAGCAAGACCCTGCCTCAAAAAGACAAAAAAGAAAAAAGCCCTTTCATAGAGCGGACATTTTTCATGTGTAATAAAATCCCATGGGTTGACTTTCTCTTGTAGAGATTGTGCTTTTGGTGTCTTGAACTCTTTACCACTGAGGTTCTGAAAGGTTTAAGACAGGAACACAGTCCCATCTACCTTTCCTTACCCACCTCAGCACTGAGCACTGAGTGGATCACATGAAATACATTATATACTTGGTGCGATGCTTGACTTGCTCTATTAGAATATAAATTCCACCATGACAGGGATCTTTCCTGCTCTGTTCTCTGCTTTCCCTCCAGTGACTACCATAGTGCCTAAGAGTTCAATATACATTTGATTGGCCAGGTGTGGTGGAGCATGCCTGTAATCCCAGTACCTGGGAGGCTGAGGCAGGAGGAGTGCTGTGAGTTCAAGGCCAGCCTGAACTACATGATGAGCCCCTATCTCAAAAAACAAAAAAAATGCAAACCATAGAGATAAATAGATGATAGATAGATAGATTTATATATGCATATATGTATGTACATTATACGTACATATATGTATGCATATACATTTGTTCAGGGAACAGAAGCATCTTGAATTGTTATTTTGCTTCCTGCTACCCTGTATCTAGTTTAGGATCTTCACACTGAGTCTTTTTTATTTTTTATTTTATTTTACACTGGTCTTTTTTATTTTGTATTTTGAGACAGGATCTCTCTAAGCCACTAAACTGTCCAGGCTGAATTTGAACTTGGGATCCTTCCGTCTCAACCACTCAGACTGCTGGGATTACAGGCGTGTGCCACCGTGCATGCCTGGATCTTACATTCTGAGGTGCAAAATGCTTGGACTGAGACCTACTGCCAAAGACAGGCAGGCTCGCCAGCGGAGGTCAGCCATGTAAGAGGGAGGCAGCATCCCGGAATGGAAGTACGAACTCCCTGGCCCCTGCCCTCCAGCTGCTGAGGGCTGCCGGGGAGGAAGGAAGTAGCCGGCTGGCACAGGGATTCAGAAGCACAACCCTGCGGAGGGGCTGCAGACCTGAAGCCTGCGGTGTGAATGGCCCAGGCGAGGCCCAGGAGAGGTAGCCCACTGCCGAGCGTGACGTTATGCAACAGGTTGGAGGAAGCCAAGGCAAGGTTGATGGGATGCCGTCCAGCAGGGGGTGGTTGGCTCAGGAGGGTGCAGCTGGGCATGCTGGGTTAGAGGCCTTGGCAGTAGCTGCTGGTCATGGGGAACCAGCTGGGGAGCCCCAGGGTACAGAGCCCCAGGAGAGCACAGCCGGATGGAAACCAAGACCAGGAAACTTTGACCTAAGTGAGAAGGGTCCGGTCCTCGGGATGGACACTGGGAACCCTGGGGAACATGGTGCCGTGGGCCCCGCACCTGCAGGAGGCTCTTCCCAGAGGCCTGTGGGCCTCCTGCTGAGCTGAACCCCTAGCCATGGGCCCCAGAAGCTTTGCTTCCAGCGTGCTTTCGGGTGGTTCTGATGCACTGGGGAGGCTCAGCTTCAGGAAACTAAGGGGCAGGGTTTGAAGTCAGCCAGCAAGCGCAGACCTAGAGGCTTGTTTATTCCAAAGACACCGGATGCAAAGAATGTAAGGGCGCCATCACCGAATGTCATGAAGCTACAGCGTAACAGGAGCACTCACTCGTGTGGTCCTGAGGGGCGTGTGCACCAGGACAACCCTTCCAGAAAGACCGGGCAACTCTCGGGCCAGGCCTTTCCACTCAGTCCTGTATACACACCTAAAGAAATACTCCCACCATGTGGCTACAACAAGCACCTGGGAACAACACAAAGGCCTACTCATGGGCCAGTGGCAGTGCATGCCTAGAACAGAAAACTATACAGCAGTGAAAAAGGACCCAGTGGGCTTGGGAGTGGCTCAGTGATGGAGGCCGGTTACCCCCTACAAGACTTCGCCACCAAGATGAATCTTTCAATGTTTGGAGGTAGGCGAGCCACAGAAGAGTATAAACCTCACACTTCCATGCACATAAAGCTTAAAAACATACCACACTAAGCTAGGAGGCTGAGGCAGGCGGATTGCAAGTTTGAGCCTCAGCGATCCTGCCAGGGCCCTAGCTGAGATTCATCCTGAGATTCCCTACCTTTTATGACTGGCTGGGACTCTCTGACTACTGACTTCTCACTTATTTCCGGGTTACAAACTCAGAAGCCAAGCAAAATGATCTCCTATCCCATGCCAGTGGAAGGACCTAATGGCCACGGACGTCCTGTGTGCTCCGTCCCTGACGCACCTGGATTTTAAGCCTGAATTTCCGGATGCCAGAGAAGGCTTTCAGTGCATTCAGAGCTTGGATTTTGACGTTGTTGTTGTTGTCGTCCAGTATGTCACCCAACAATCGGATGTCGTCGGTAGTACACGCAGAGGCCTAGGGCACGTGTGGAGAGAGGGGAGAGGCGGGAGGAGCCGCGCCCTGGACCCCCTGCCCGCTGCCCCATCACAAGTCCCCTCGGCACACCCCTCCCACCACCGGTCAGACACGGGCGGCCGGGACAACCGGGCCCCGCCTCACCTCGGCCTCCAGCAGGTACACACAGCGGGTGATGCTGTGCAGGATCATGCTCCTGGAGTATTCGTCCTGCTTGCACTCCAAGGAGTCCAGGAGTCTCCGGAGCTCCCCTGAGTCCCGCCCGTGGCGCTCCCGCTCGATTACCAGGCCTAGACAGCCAGCCCAGCCCAGTTCAGGCTGTGGACTCAGAAGGAATGGATGAAAGGGGTCGGGAAACGGGAGGGGGACCTGCGAACAGGGTGGCCTTGCCTTTTCTGGAAAGCAGCCTTCCTGCTACATCCACGGCCATCATGGACGGCTGAACAGGGAGTGTACTGCACAAGGGTACTACAGTTAATATTGTATCGTCTGTCTCGTGTCATCCGTGTGTCTATTTACTATCACATTTTTCTGGCATATGGCAGTAACAAGCTGTGTTTGTGTAACCAGTATATGGCAAGGATATTCCAGCAGATGGCAATAAAGAGTCTCACATAAGGCATCCCTTTTCTGTTTCACAGAAAAGAATGCCATGTGGACTTTGGAAGCCCTGGGCCATGGAGCTCCCTAGTCTCCCTTTTCCCTCAAGTGTCAGGTCCCTGGGCAAGAGTGGAATGGGGGAGCTGCTGGCACCAAGTTTCCAAGCGGTGGAAGAGCAGAAGCCAGAATGAATGCAGAATTCGGAGAGCTACGGGAAGAGCCCTGGGGACCCCCCTGAGGGAGACCTGCTCTCTAGGACCCTTGCCCAGGGTCGGGGTCCCACAGGGTGGAGCAGAGAGAAGGAGGGAGGAGAGAGGAACTTGGAGAAGTCACCTTCGGGCTTTCCCTCAGGGGCGGCCTCGGGAGCAGCTGCCTCCTGGGGCACAGCCCTCTCCCCAGAGCCCGGACACTCACGGGCGATGCAGATGGGTGAGGTGTTGCAGAGGGCCGGTTTGCATTGGATGCCGGCCCTGATGGCCTTGTAGAGCAGGTAGATGGCCCCAGCGCCCGTGGCCAGGCTCACTACGCTTTTGCGGATGTCCAGTTGCCTCAGGCACTGGGGGATGCTCTTGCCCATGTCTTCAGTGCGACCCATGCCCCGGTGGGAGCCAGGCCCAGGGCTCCAGGGAGGAGCCTTCCGGAACCAGAACTCTGGCAGCACCAGGAGCCATGGTACCAGAATCGGAACCTGGGCGACAAAGGAACGTGGGGAAGACGATAGGACAGAGGGCGGCAGGCAGGGAGGAGCGCTTGAGGGGAGGCTGCAGCTTTGGGGGCTGCTGGAATGAAGCTGCAGACTCCAGGGGCCATGGGTCCGACCCCCTGCACCACCAAAAGCAGGACAGCAGAACCATTCACACTCCTATCCTGGGGGTTCCGCTCAGAGGGGCCCAGCTGGCGGCTCCAGAGCCGGTGCCTCCTTCCGTGAGAGGGCAGCACTTTCCCCGGACCAGGGCCTTCCCAGGAGGGAGTTTGGGGTACACTCATCAGGTCCATCCCGAGGGGACCCGGGATGGGAAAGGAACTGCCCTGCCCTGGGCCTCCATTTTTGCATTTGAAGAGATTCAGATGTTCCCTTCTAAAGCTGCAGGGTGAAGAAGTGGGCGGCCTGCACCCACTTCAGACACGGGGCTGATCTGGGAGTGCCAGCTCCCAGCCTCCGCACTGGTAGGATGAGGTATGAGACTTCTGGAATCAGAAAGCGCGGCCAGCTCACAGGCCAGAGGCTTGGACATCCAGGGCTAGGACCAGGCCGGTGAGACCACACCCTCCCCTCCTCCGCTGCCCCCTCTAGTACTCAGCGGGAGGTGACAGCCGCCCACAGAACAAGGTCACTGCAGTGTCTCCAGTGATGAGCACTGCCCGCCCGAATCCTAAGCAAAGTGCTCACTGATTCCTTCAAGATGCCCAGGGTTGTTTCCTGACTGTAACCTAATTCCTTCCCTTTTTTTTTTTTTTTTTTTTTTTTTTTTTTTTTTTGAGGCAGGGTCTCACTATGCAGTTCAGCCTGGCCTTGACCTCACTTTGTAGCACAAGCTGCCCTGGAACTTGCAGAGATCCTCCTGTCAGCCTCCAGAGTGCTGGGCTTACGGGTATGCACCACCACACCCAGCTTCTCCTATACTTTTTTGAAAACTGGGGATTGAGCTCGGGGACTTCACACTGAGCTACGCTCCCACCTTTCTGTATTTATTTTGAGACAGGCTGTAAGTCCCTGAGTGGCCCAGTCTGGGCTCAAACTTTCGATCTTCCCGGCTCTTCCCGGCTCTCAGCGCTGGGATTACAGTTATGCACCACCACACCCAACTCTAAAGCCCACTTCTTCCGGTTCTGCCCTCCAATGATTCAGAGACTGGGGGGCAGTCATCCCCACAGTGACATTTTCACCTGCACCCAGCACAATCAAAAATTAAAGACTGAGAATGTCTCTTTCTCAGTGGAAAGTCAATAATGGCTCCTTTGTTGGGAATCACTCGCAGTAGTTTTTGTTTTTAGAGACAGGGTCTTGGTATTTTTCCCAGGCTGGTCTCAAAAGATTCTCCTGCCTCAGCCCCCTTGTAGCTAGGACTACAGGAGTTTGCCCATCCTGCCCAGCAGAATGGCGCACTGTTTTCCGTTGAGATGATGATGTTCTTGTTCTGGGGGTGATGAAAGACACTAGGTGTGTCTTGACTGTCCTTAGGAAACAGATTAAAAGCAGCAACTCTTTTTGGGAACTTGGCTTTTATTTTTTGTCCGATCCAGAAATCTGGCACACTGGCCAAAGAGAAGTCTGAGAGCCAACACACACTGAGCCATGGCCTTGAGCTCCTTACCTGGCCTCCTCAAGGACCAGGACTGCCCCGGCACCCACCTCTTTTCCATCGGTGCCAGGACTTTACCTCCAGGTCTGGCAACCTCCCCAAACTCAGCGCGGAATATCAGGGGGGGGGCTCCAGCCGGACAGCCCTGCTCCATCAGAAACACTTCAGGCGCTGACTTACTTCTGCAGGCTGTGCGCCTCACTGTCCCCACCTGTAAAATGGGAGTAGTAAGACCCACTTCCTGGGCAGCGAGGATTAAGTAAAGCCCTTGGAGCTGTACCCTGCACAAAGACTTCCACAAATGTCATTTTTATGAGAAGTAGGAAAATAATTTTGGGCAAAATGCTGGGCACCTCGGGCAGTGGGGCCGCGCGGGGTGGGGGGGCACCTTCGTGTCCTGGTCTGAGAAACAAACCATTCACCCCTTCCACCTCCACCACCCCGCCCCCACCGCTGCGCCCCGGTCTTCCAGCTACAGAATCCCAACTCCCAGAACCTATTTCTTTTTTTTTTTTTCTAAGGTACCAGGAACCGAACTCACGACCTTGCGCTTGCCAGGCAGGTGCTTTGCCGCTGAGCTAAATCCCCAGCCCCATCCCAGAACCTATTTCACTTCCCTCAGTGACTCCGGAGCCCTCTTTGAAGCCCCCACAAATTCCTAAACCAGGAGCCCAGCCCAGCCCCTGAGCAGCTCTGTTCCTAAATCCACATAGCCACCTAAGATCCCGAAGGTTACTGTCGGGGGCTGGGGATTTAGCTCAGCGGCACAGCGCCTGCCTGGCAAGCGCAAGGTCGTGAGTTCGATTCCCGGTACCAGAAAAAAAAACACGGAAGGCTACTGTCCTCATTCCCTGCACCCTTACCCCAGCGACGGTGTCGTTCTCTGCAGAGCTCCAGATGCTGAGGGCTGGGGGGGACAAAGGGAGACACCAAGGTGGTCACCGCCGAGGGTGGCCCTGGGCAGCCCAGCACTAACGCGCTCTAAAGCTAAGGGGAAAAGACTCCTCTGAAGTCCCACAGGCCGGGGTTCAAATCCAGCAGGGTGAGGTCTGGACGCGTTCCATCCTCGAAGTCCCAGTTCCCTGCTCCCGCGCACGGATCTGGCAGGCGCAGCTGCCGGGCCGATCAGGGAACGTGCCGTCCCTCTGGGGCCCCGCGCGGGGACTCTGGACGCCGGCCGGGCCAGCGAGGACGGGCGGGGGGGAGCCGTGCCCTGCCGCGGACCCCACCCTCCCCGGCCACCGGCCGCCGCTTAGCTCAGCCGGGGAGCAGACTCAGGGCCTGCGGGCGGTTCTCTCCGCGGCGAAGGCGAGGAGACTGCAGCAACGCGGCCGAAGCCTCGGTGGGCGGGCGGCGCCCCCAGACGGGGACGGCCGGGCGGAGCCTCGCCACCCCGCCCCCCGCATCCGGCGCCGGGCACAGGATGTTCTTTCGCTCGTCCCCCCCCTCCCGCCCCCGCTCTCACTTTTTCTCCGCTCCCCTCCTCCACGCCGCCGCCCGCACCTTGCTTAACCCCTTGCTTACCGCGCTCCGCGGGCACTGCGCGCCTCCGACAGCTCCGCGATCCCGCGCGTCCCTGCACGCGGAGGGGTGCTGCCCGGGGAGCCGTGGGCCAGAGCACACTCCTCGGACCCTCGGGGGTGGAGGGTGGCGAGCGCTCACAGAGACCGAGGCCCACGCCCCGCTGACTCCCCGACCCCAGATCGCCAGGGCAAGTGGGGTGCACGCACTCCGGGGAGCAGCGAGCCCGAAGGAGCTGCCAGCGCGTTCCCCCTCCTGCAGGGGCGGGGAGGGTTCGGACCCCTCCAACCTCATCCTCCCTCCCCCAGGCTCGGTCGAGGAGCCGCGAGGATGGAGAGGGCACACGCCCCTCGTGCTACGTCATTGTTTCCAAGGCAACCTGGGGGTGCCAGAGGCTCATGGACCACGTGGGGCTGGGGTGCGGCAGGGGCGGGCTTTTCGATCCTCTTCTTCGCTCTTTGATTACGCTTGGCAGCACGCTTAGACACCGGGACACGGCGGCGCTGGAGCTGAGCCTTGGCCTCGCGAGGTTTTGTGAACCAGGTTAGGGTAGCCATGCGTCCCAGGCTATATCCCTGGAACCGATGCAGTTATTAATAGTGACCCTTTGGGTGTAAAGCATCCCCATGGTCAGTAGTTTAAGAAAGACTCGAGAGCCGGGCGTGGTGGCTCATGCCTGTAATCCTAGCACTCAGGAGGCTGAGGCAGGAGGATAGCTGCGAGTTCGGGACCGGCCTGGGCTACAAAGTGAGCTCAAGGCCAGCCTGAACTGCACAGTGAGACCTTGTCTCAAAAAGACAAAAAAAAAAAAAAGAAAGAAAAAGAAAAAGAAAAGAAAGAAAGACTCAAGCCCTCAATTCAAGGAAGGCCTGGCCATGGGAAGACAATAGTTTGCTCATCAGGCAACAGGTACTTTCTAGGCACTTTGTAGTCTTCGTGATCTTTGTTGCTGATTCCGTGAGGCAAATAACTCTAGCACCTTTTAAAGATGAAGGAAAAAACTGGCTTCCAGAGAAGTTAAGAGGCTAAGGCAAGGCCCAGCAGCTGAGTGTTAGAACCGGGATCCAGGCCAGCTTCCTGTGGGTCTGAGTGTCCTACCTGGTGCCTCCTCCTTAAGACAAACTATGATATAAAATTGTCCCTGCCATGAAGGCGCTTATGACCTACAGAAGAAAGACTTGAAAATACTACAGGACACAAACAGAAAAGCTGGGCATGGTGGCACACTCCTGGAATCCCACCATTTGGGAGGCTGAGGCAGGAGGATCATTGGGAGTTCGAGACCAGCCTGGGCTACAAAGTGAGCTCAAGGCCAGCTTGAACTGCATACTGAGACTGTCTCAAATAAATAAATAAAAAAAATTAAACAGAAAAGATTGAAGGCCACTCATAAAGCTCAGAGGAAGCTGACAAACCGATTAAACCAAAGTGGAGATTATCAGAACCTTCCTGTAGGGGGTGGATTTTGTACTGGGTCATGGAGCCAGGGTCACTAGTCCCCTCTGAAAATTTGGAGAAAATGAATAGGGCCCCAGTGAACATCAGGAAAGTAAGAGGTTTGGTGGGAATGGGGAGACCAAGTCAGAAGACAGAATTGGAAGGCTGAGAGGGGAATGTGACCAAAGAAATTGATTACCTGGGGAATATTCGCTGCCCTCCTGCAGAGCAGCAGGCACTCTGCTAGTCTCGGTAGTCTGTGAACACCATGAATAACTCAGGTCCCTTCATGGGACCACACAGGTTAGCAGCAGGCGTGCCTGAAGTTGATCACACACATGTGCACACACACTGGGTGTTGAGAAAGATTCCACGGGGTGTGCAGGAGGAAGGGAAAACCTGAGTGAGAAAGTCTGGCAATTTGGGCTAAAGGTGGAATGCAGGGGGCTGCAGAGGGAGGAGCGCATGAGAAAAGTAATGAACAGGCAACGCATTTTAGAATAAAAGCAACCAAAGGGAGAGTGTGCAGAATTTGGTAGCACATCAGAGAGACAACACAGAAGGAGGGGAGCAGTTAAATTTTAACCCACCCATGGAGTGACTTTGGGGGACAGGGAGGGTCTAGGTGGGCACAGGGAGGGGCTGGTGTGAGGGCAGGAGGATGAGCTCAGTGACACCTGGACCCTGGAAGGGAAGGTGTCCTGCAGGTGACAGGACTGGGGGGCGGTAGGCCACCTTCGGAGAGTGTCCTGGTCACAGCTGCAGAGCAGTCACCGACCAGGGATACCATGAACAGATGTCATTGGTCAGGCTGAAGGCTGCAGCAGAGGGCAGCAAAGGTGCCTCCCTCCTGGGGAACTGGTGAGGGCTGGCCGGGTGACAGCACGTGTAGGAAGAGTGCCAGAAGGTGCTCCGTGGCTCAGGCGCGAGTTGGTGTCCACCTCCGCATCCCTGGCCACACAGCATGCCGGTGGTGCCGTCGGACGGGCCTGGGGGGCACGAAGCCCAGAAGAGGCGCTTCGAAGCTGAGGTCTCCCCTCCAACCGCACCCTCCAAGGCCCCGTAGCCTGGGCTTGTGCGTCTGCCAAGGCCTTCCTGGAACCCGGCAGAGGACAGCACCCCTCCCTGCCTGCCTGGCACACTCTCCGGGCACAGGATGTCCCTCCGGGCACCTTGCAGACATCGCAGGAGGCAAGGACATGAGGCGGGCCCCCTCCCTCCAGGAGGAGCCCTGCTCCGGGCCGCTGTCACCCAGCAGTGGCCTCAGCAGACCACGGGAGGCGGCGGCACAGGGACGGGGAGCAGTTCCAAGGCGGGGTGGCAGGCTTCCCGGGGTTGTGCGGTGGATTCAGGTGGGAGAGCGGGGAAGGGCGGTCTCGGGTGCAGAGCCCCACACCACCTGCTCGCTGGCCTCCCCTCCTCCCGCCCAGGAGGAACTCTGCAGGGGCCTCGTGGTTTTGAGGGGAGGGGACCGGAAGAGACTGTGAACTCCGGGTCAGCTGAGGACAGAGACAGGGGAGAGCTTTGCCCTCCATCCGATTTCTTCCAGGACCCGACCCCACTGCCACCTTAGAGCAAACTCCTCCTAGCTCCGACTGCGGCTCCCAGGGACAGCCTCGGCGCTAGGACCTCCAGAGGGAGGCGTCCCTGAGCTTGGGAGGTGCCGGGCCACACCTGCTGGATGCGGCCAGGACAGCGCCCCTCCCGGTGGGCAGAGCCTGCGCCGGCGGGGG